AGCAGCTAACAACAGTCCATCTATTTCTTGTCTCGATACACAACATCTAATAACAGTCTATCTATGTTCTCATATCGATACACAGCAGCTAACAACAGACTATCTATGTTTTTGTCTCGATACATAGCAGCTAACAACAGGCTATCTATGTTCTCATATCGATACACAGCAGCTAACAACAGACTATGTATGTTCTCATATCGATAAATACCTGCTTACAACAGGCTATCTATGTTCTCATATCGATACACAGCAGCTAACAACAGACTATCTATGTTCTCGTCTCGATACATACCAGCTAACAACAGGCTATCTATGTTCTGATATCGATACACAGCAGCTAACAACAGACTATCTATGTTCTGATATCGATACACAGCAGCTTACAACAGACTATCTATGTTCTGATATCGATACACAGCAGCTAACAACAGACTATCTATGTTCTGATATCGATACACAGCAGCTTACAACAGACTATCTATGTTCTGATATCGATACACAGCAGCTAACAACAGACTATCTATGTTCTGATATCGATACACAGCAGGTTACAACAGACTATCTATGTTCTGATATCGATACACAGCAGCTAACAACAGGCTATCTATGTTCTGATATCGATACACAGCAGCTAACAACAGACTATCTATGTTCTGATATCGATACACAGCAGCTTACAACAGACTATCTATGTTCTGATATCGATACACAGCAGCTTACAACAGGCTATCTATGTTCTGATATCGATACACAGCAGCTTACAACAGACTATCTATGTTCTGATATCGATACACAGCAGCTTACAACAGACTATCTATGTTCTGATATCGATACACAGCAGCTAAAGACAGACTATCTATGTTCTGATATCGATACACAGCAGCTAACAACAGACTATCTATGTTCTGATATCGATACACAGCAGCTAACAACAGACTATCTATGTTCTGATATCGATACACAGCAGCTAACAACAGACTATCTATGTTCTGATATCGATACACAGCAGCTTACAACAGAATATCTATAAGCCGGTGATGACTT